ATGAAGTTTTGGATTGTTTTCTCTAGTTCTGTGAAATATATTGTTGGAATTTCAATTGGCATTGGATTAAATCTATATAGCAGTTTTGGAACTATGGCCATTTTCAGTATATTGGTTCTTCCTACCCAGGAGCAAGAGATGCCTTTCCATTTTCTTATATCCTTTTCGATCTCTTTGTTCAGAGTGATGTAGTTTTCAGTGTAGAGGTCTTTTGGTTCCTTTGTTAGATTGATTTCTAAATATTTCATTTTTTGGGATGCTATGGTAAAAGGAATTATTTCCCTAATTTCTCTCTCAGTGAGTCTGTTATTTGTGTACAAGAAGGCTATGCTTTTTTTGTATTGATCTTGTATCTAGCTATTCTACTGAATCTGTCAATTAAGTCTAGAAGTCTTTTGGTGGAGTTTTTTGGATCTTCTATGTAAAGTATCATATTGTCAGGAAATAATGACAGTTTAACTTCTTCTTTTCCTATCTTTATTTTTTTTTATTTCTTTCTCTTTCTAATTGCTGTGGCTAATGTTTCCAGAACTATATTGAACAAGAGTGGTGATAGTGGGCATTCTTGTCTTGTTCCTGATTTTAGTGTGAAAGTTTTCAGTTTTTGGCCATTTAGTATGATGTTGGCTGTTGGTTTTTCATAGATAGGCTTAATCAAGTTGAGACCATCTATTCCAATTTTCTGTAGGGTTTTTATCATGAATGGGTGTTGGATTTTGTCAAATGCTTTTTCTGCATCTATTGAGATGATCATCTGATTTTTGTCCTTGGCTCTGTTAATATAGTGTATTACATTTATTGATTTATATATGTTGAACCATCCTTGCATCCCTGGGATAAATCCAAATTGGTCAGGGTGTATGATCTTCTTGATGGCATTCTGTATTCTGTTTGCCAGTATCTTGTTCAGGATTTTTGCATCTATGTTCATTAGGGAGATTGGCCTGTAGCTCTCTTTTAGGGTTGTGTCTTTCCCTGGTTTGGGAATCAAAGTAACACTTGCTTCCAGGAATGAATTTGGAAGTATTCCTTCCCTTTCAATTTCATTGATAAGTTTAAAGAGTAATGGTGATACTTCTTTAAATGCCTTAGAATTCAGCAGTGATGCCATAAGGTCCTGGGCTTTTCTCTGTTGGTAAATTTTTAATCATGTTTTCAATTTCACTCATTGTAATTGGGGTGTTTAGAATTTCTATATCTTTTTTTCCCCTTAAATTCTTTTATTGGTACATTTTAGGTATACAATACACTTACATTTCTCATTGGGAACTTGTACCTTTACATGATGTATCTTGGTTCTTATTTCTTCCCCATTCTCTGCCCTCCCTTCACTCCTCACCCTTCCCTACTTACAAAGACTTTGTTTCCATTTCTCATAATATTTCCTTTCACTTCTTTCCTTTCT